AAATGGAAGAACAGAACAGCTGAGCTCCTCGCCAAAAAACAGCCATTAAAAACCAGTGAGGTATACTCTGACGATGAGGAGGAGGAAGAAGATGACAAATCCAGTGAAAAGACAGACCGCTCATCCCAAACACCATCCTCTGATGAAGAAGAAGAGATCCCTCCGAAATCACAACCCGTGTCCTTACCCGAAGAACTGAATCGGGTTCGATTATCACGGCATAAGCTGGAACGTTGGTGTCATATGCCCTTCTTTGCTAAAACTGTCACAGGATGTTTTGTACGGATTGGCATTGGAAACCACAACAGCAAACCAGTTTACCGGGTTGCTGAGATCACGGGTGTTGTGGAAACCGCCAAGGTTTACCAGCTTGGTGGCACCAGAACAAACAAAGGGCTACAGCTACGGCATGGCAATGCCCAACGGGCATTCCGCCTAGAGTTTGTCTCAAACCAAGCATTCACTGAAAGCGAATTCATGAAGTGGAAAGAAGCGATGTTTTCTGCTGGCATGCAGTTGCCCACTCTAGATGAAATCAATAAGAAGGAATTATCTATTAAAGAAGCTCTTAATTATAAATTCAATGATCAAGACATTGAAGCGATTGTAAAAGAGAAAGAAAGGTTCAGGAAAGCTCCGCTTAACTATGCCAAGAAAAAGACTCAGCTGCTAATGGAAAAGGCCATGGCGGAGGACCTGGGGGATCAGGACAAGGCCAAACAAATCCAAGACCAGCTGAATGAGCTGGAGGAGCGGGCAGAGGCCCTGCACCGCCAGTGGACCAAGAACATATCTGCTATCAGTTACATCAACCAGCGGAACCGGAAATGGAATATTGTGAAGTCTGAGAAGGCCCTTGTGGCTGAAAGTCACAACATGAAAAACCAACAGATGGATCCCTTTACCAGACGGAAATGCACACCTATCATCGTTTCTAATTCCAGAAGCCCAGCTGTTCAAGCTGCCATCTTGGCTCAGCTGAATGCAAAGTATGGTTCTGGAGTGTTACCGGATGCCCCAAAGGAAATGAGCAAGGGTAAGGGAAAGGATAAAGATTTGAATTCTAAGTCAGCCAGTGACCTCTCAGAAGACTTGTTCAAAGTACATGATTTCGATGTGAAGATTGATTTACAAGTTCCCAGCTCAGAGTCAAAGGCTTTGGCCATCACCACCACGGCTCCACCAGCCAAGGATGGGGCTCCAAGGAGATCTCTGGACTTGGAAGACTACAAAAGACGACGGGGGCTTTTTTCTCACCCAGCAGCCTGCTGCCTCTGACCCTGCATGCCCATCAGTGTCCCGCCTCTGGTTTGGGCAGAGAGGATATGGATCCTGTACACATCTACTCTGCTCCTAGAATAGCCATGAAAGCCAAATGTCCAACTGTCTTGACTCATATGTGCTTTCCACCCCCCAATCAATATTGCAAATATATTTTATCTTCCATATGATGTTCTTAGTAACATTTTATTTACTCTAGCATTCTTTATTGAAAGAATATAGTACATAATACATATTACATACAAGATATGTGTTAATCAACAATTTATGTTTCCAGTAAGGCTTTTGGTCAATAGTAGGCTTTTAGTAGTAGTAGTTAAATTTTGGGGGTGTCAAAAGTCGTATATGGATCCTCAACTATGTAGGGGGTCAGCATCCCTGGTCCCCACATTGTCCGGGTGTCAAATGTTTTTGAAGAAGCTACCCTATTTTAAAAACATCAGGTTCTCACTCATCAGTGGGATGATAATGCCCGCCTTAAAGCATTTTATGAAAATTCAGTGAGTTTCTTCCGACTGTCCTATCAAGTCACCAACGACAGGGGCTTAAGACAGCACACATTTATTATCTCACAGTTTGGGAGATAAGAAGTCCTAAATTCAAGTGTTGGCAGGGGCTGCATCCCTCCCGGAGACTCTAGGGAAGGACCCATTATCTTGTCTTTTCTTTTTTTTTTTTAACACTTGTCACAAACCATAACAAGCTGCATTTAATCTTTTTTCCTCCTGTTTCAAAAAGCTGTTTAGGATTTTGCAGCCTATCAGGGTCATTGTTTTCTTTTTTTTCCCCATCACCATTTATACCCCCTATACCCTCTTCCACCCCTACTCCTCCCCCCTGCAAAACACCATCCTGTTTTCATTCTCTGATTTTGCTTTCCTGCCTTCTCATGGGTTATTTGAACATTTTTAGGGCATTTCATTTCAATTTATCTATTGTGATTTTACCTATCTTTTTTATAGTTTTTCATTGGTTGCTCTAGGGATTGTAATACACATTTCTAATCTTTAAAGGACAATTTAGGATCATTAATTCCATTATTGCAGGTGGAATGTAGAAATCTTACCATAATAGATATCCCCTTATCCTCCCCCCATTTATGTTAGAATCATTTTACCTATGGAATCATATACACCGAAAACTCCATAAAATGTTTGATTTTTGCTTTCAACCATCAAATGTACTTTAAAAGTCAAGAGGGGAATAATTGTATATTATGTTATCCAAATATTTACATTTATGTTGTTCTCTTGTATTTCTGGTGTTTCAGGTTAACTTTTGGTATTGTTTTTGGTTGTTGAAGAATTTACTTTAACCCTTCTTTTATAGCTGGTCTGCTGGCAATGAACTACCTTAGCTTTTCTTCATATGATAATATCTTTATATCACAGTCTATTTCCAATTTCACTGAATATGGAATTCTGGTTTGCAGTTCTTATCCTTCTATAATTATACGGATACTTTGTCAGAAGCAACACGATATTTTCTTGTTGCTGAATATGGAGAGAGGGGTCACAATACTGCACTAGGATACACCTATCTCTTCCGTTTTTGTCTCCCAGGGCTAGGACAATGCCCTGTCCTGGTGGGCTCATTTTTCCACTTTGCTCACCATGAGCCCAGGGGACTGCTGTGCCCCAGTTCTGCTTTTAAAAACTTATTTATTAAAATAAGTTTTACTTTAAAAGGATCTTAAACGCACAGAAATATAGTTACAAAACAAAGAACTTTCCTCCTGAAACATTTGAGAGGAAGTTGACAACATGATGCCTCATTACCCCCAAAATGTCAGTGAGGAATTCCTACAAGCAAGCACACTCTCCTCCCTGACCACAGTGCTACCCATGGGATCCAGGGCATAAACATGGAGGCATCCATCCCTCCTGCTCTATCCTCAGACCTGGTCAAGTGTCAGTGGAAGGGCCTGCCTCCCCCAGGCTCAGCCAACAATAGACCATCAAGAGCAGGGGTCCTCAAACTATGGCCCGCGGGCCACATGCGGCACGACGAAAACATTTATCCGGCCCACAGGGTGTTTTTGCCGCCGCTGCCTGTTGCTTAGCAGCAGACTCGTCCAGGCCTGCAGTGCGCATGTGTGGAATGTGCGCCGCACTCTCCGACTTCCCTCCTTCTCTCTGTCTCTACACTCCTCCTCTCAGTCTCGGGTGTAATCGGCTGAGTCATGAGCTTGCCTGTGTAGAGCCTGCTGCTGCCTGAGGATGGAAGTAAGAACAAGTTAGGATTTATTTTTTTTTGAAGTTAGGAGGTCTATTTTTTTTTATTTTGCAGTTAGTAGGGCCTTTTTTTTTAAAGTTAGGAGAGCTTTTTTTTTGAAGTTTTGTTTTTTTACTTCAAAATAAGATATGTGCAGTGTGCATAGGAATTTGTTCATAGTTTTTTTTTTAACTATAGTCCGGCCCTCCAACGGTCCGAGGGACAGTGAACTGGCCCCCTGTTTAAAAAGTTTGAGGACCCCTGATCAAGAGTGTGTTGCTCCGAGGATGCTCTGTGGGCTGGGGGGGGTGGGGGGGAGGGCTTTCCAGAATTAAGGAGCCTTTTCTCCTCCCAACCTCCCCTCTAACAAAAGGATGCACAATCGTGGGTTACATTTGTTCTCCCACCTGGAACAGTTCCTTAGTCTTTCCTTGACTTTTATAAATTTGACACTTTTGAAGGGTCTTTATATTATAGAATTTTCATAAATTCGTATTTGTTTAATGTGTACACTAACATGGTATCCTTGTCAGTGCAGAAACCTAGCCATAGGTCTGTCCTGGTCTGTGCCCATTGTCAGTCTCCGTGAATGCACCTCCCACATCTGCTCAAAGCCTCAGCCCCAGGCTCCACTCCCTAGAGAAAGGACACTCTGTTCTCTCAGTGGGTGCCTTGTCAGCCGTCTTGGTCCTTCCCAACATCTGAAATAATAACAATCAGACCAGTTGAGAGCTAAGGATTAGAAATGTCCCTGTAGCAAGCATCTTCATGCACTGGTTTATCATCCCAGGGTCAAGGTCAGAGGCGTGGGATGAGATAGGAGAGCAGAGGCCTAGGGGCTGTGGTCTGGGTTCCTTGGGCACTTGAACAATGTTAGCCAGATCTCTGTCTTTTCCAGCACACCCATTTCCTTCTAGTAAGGTTCCCTCAAACACCCACAAAAGTGCTTTGCCAGATGCTAGAAAAAAATTCCTATCCTTTCTCAAATGGTGAAATAATGACACTGATGCTTGATTCTGGTTCTGATCAATGGCTAAATGATTGAGGAAAAGGCTTTCCTTTGCACCATTTAAAATTTTTTGCTACCTAGATGTACTTTTCAGAGTTCTCAAGAGGATAAAACATGCTGCTAACAGCCAGTAACCCCCCTGTGATCTGCTTAGTTTGGATGGTTCCTGGGGAGTAAATGATCTCAAATGTGGTACAGAAATTGGACATCTATCTGGGCAGGCCTTAGATGTTCTGAGACATGTGACACAGCTTTGAGAGTGGCCAATATCAGCCCCCAGTGCTCCTGAACAACGCTAATGCTTTAGAAAGAGCCAGCAACCCTCAGGCTAACTGGGGGACTGAAGGAAGCATAGCAGGTCAAAGTCGGGCTGTGTTTGGGAAGAGGAGCTCTTCCTTTCTGCTCTTCCTGCTGACAGTGGGACACCAAAGGGCGAAGACAACGGGCATTATGGGAGCAACCTGTCCTTTAAAACCACAGGCTTCTTTCTTTTATGATGCTAAATTTCTTGCACCCCTGATTCTTTTATTGTGGTAAAACATACATAATATTTACCACATGAATCATTTTAAGTGAACAGTGGCATTAAGTACACTCATATTATTGTGCAACCCTCACCACTATCCATCTCCAAACTGAAGCTCTGCACCCATTAAAAAATAACACCTTAATCATTCTTCCCCAAATCCCTGGCAACTACAATCTTACTTTTCTTTCTTTTCCCCCCACTTCTTAACCCACTGCTTTGATTCCTGTCCTGGGAGTTAATGTGTATATTGTTCTCTTTGTCTCAAATGACCTGCCCTGCTGGTGGTAAATTCTTCCACATAATCTTATTTATTTATTTATTTACTTATTTAAATATATTTTTATTGATTTCAGAGAGGAAGAGAGAGCGAGACAGAAACATTGATGATGAGAGAGAATCATTGATTGGCTGCCTCCTGTACACCCCCTACTACGGATAGAGCCTGAAACCCAGGCATGTGCCCTGACTGGGAATTGAACCGTGACCTCCAGGTTCATAGGTCAATGCTCAACCACTGAGCCATGCTGGCTGGGCTTTTTTGAAAATAGAAATCACAATGTTTTCTGCACAATATTTTTGCCTTATAGCACAAAGGCTAGCACAGGTCTGGCACATAGTAGGTGCTTAATTAAAAAATCTGCAAATATTATTTGATTTTGTGCATGGTATATTTTTAAACAATATATACCAGTAAGATGTTTAACAAAATGTATCCCTATAATTCACACATGCACATGAACTTGAAAAATAATTATTGATGTTAGGTTTTTTTCACACATCCCCTTACTCTCTCCCCTTTGGCAACCATCAGATTGTTCTCTGTATCTATGGGTCTGTTTCTGTTTTGCTTATTCATTTGATTTGTTTTTGAAGATCCCACATATAAATGAAATCATACAGTATTTTTTTGTCTGACTTATTTCACTTAGCATAATACCTTATGGCAAATTTTCCTTCTTTTGGGGGCTGAATTATACTCCATTGTACTTATTTACCATTTTTTATGTGTACCTCTATTGCTTCTATATCTTGGCTATTATAAATAATGCTGCAAACATAGGGTACATGTACCTTTTCGAATAGTGTTTTTGTTTTCTTCAGGGAAGTGGTATTACAGGATTGCATGGCAGCTCTATTTTTAATTTTTTTTGAGGAACCACCATAGTGTTTCTCATAGTGGCTGCACCAATTTGCAATCCAATCAATAATGCACAAGGGTTCCTTTTTCTCCACATCTTTGTCAAC